TAATTAGCTTTCTTACAAGCATTGCAATCCGCTAACGCACACACTTGTTCTGTGATTGTTCTGTGCTGATTGCACTTCAACTAAAAAAAAAATGTTTTATCCTATTAATTAATCGATGGAATATTGGGTAGAATACTTGATGACTAAAGTATTCCATAGCTGCAGATCTATTACCCCTAATTTCCACCACATCCGGAACAGCTACGAAAAGGCTGCATCCGCCAATTGTAGCTGATCGTAACCATTCAAGTTAATGTGTCAATTTCTGCCACCTCCTTTCTTTTCCGCTGCGGATTGCTGGACTCCACAGCTGACTGCAAGAGTTCTATTTTTTTCAGACACCGGAGCATGCCGGATATATTCAGATTAATTCACAAAAAAAAAAACATCTGTCTTCTTGTCAACCAAAAACACTCCATGTTTCAGGCAGATTGTATTTCACACCATGCAAATGGGCGGGGACGAACAATGAAAGGTTTTTAGACAGCATTTCACCCCGAAGACACCATGGATGAGGAGATGCTAATTTTAGAAGTTTAGAAGTAGATTTCCTCCTCTGGAAGGACACAATCTACTGCTTATATGGTTAACCTATGTGGCAGGAGACAACTTTTTTATCGCGCGATTGCACATGAATCCGCAAGTTTTTGTGAGTTTTTGCGATTCCTGCTGTCCGTATTCTGCCACGAAATTTGCCTCACAAACAGATCCAGTAGGAATTGGCTGACGGTGAAAATCGGAGCCGTTCCTGATGCGGTGGAAATTGGGGGTTAGAGTCCTTCAAAATTAGCTAAATCTGCAGAAAACTGTAGCCTAGCTTGCATGCCGGTTATCCTGGTAGTCATTAAAGAGGCTGGAATCCATCGTGGCTAGTGCACCTAAATTTGAAGTTACACCACTATATCCCCTTCAGTTTATATTCCCTGTTCGCAAAAATATGCAGTGACACGTTGCATACCATAAATAGATAAAGTATTTGGGTTTGGTTTTTGATATATCTCTCTCTTCAACGTGTCTCGACTCAGTTCTGACAGGCCCTACAGGATTTTAGAGAGTTCTGGGTCTCATGGGGGCACAGCAGTGCAGATGTTATTTTCTTGGTCCAATTCTGAAATTGTTTATTTCTTTTCCTTCCCTCAGCCAGAGGGCAATGTAATGCACCCAATACTCCATACCCAGAACCTGATACAAAAACAGTTCTGCAGAGTCTAATACATGTGAGGTGCACTGGTGCCTTAAACAACAAAATAAAACCAGCAGCTCATGAAAGCATCAAATTGATATATAAAACAGGATAGAAAAACTTTGGGAAAGCAATAGCACAACATGGATGTTCACAAAACAGCAAAGAAACTCATTTTCCTCTAACAGATAACAGTGAATAATGTGTCTCTATTCAAGAAAACCAAGGAGACCAACTTTTCGAAATACAACAGCGGGACAGAAATAACTAAACTTTGGACGCCTAACAACAGCCTGTGCGTCCTTGTGAGGAGATGTTTGCTCCAACAAAGATAGGTCTGAATGGATGTTTGTGCGTCTGTGTCTGTGTGTGTGTATGTGTGTGTGTTTACGGGCATGTGCCGACATACATAATTTCTGCAAAGCTTTGGCAGAAAGCTGATTAAAGAGTGAATGAGGAAGTTGATTTCTACCCCACAGTGGACCCACAATGTGCAGGATTAATCAGGCCCGGCTCCTATCCATGCAGGTTAATTAGGGTTAAATGATAATTAGGACACCATTAAAAAGGCAAACAACCACAGAGGACCCTTAATCCACACAATGCTGCCGCTGCGGGTAGGTTTATTTGTTTGTGGATGGAAGGTGTTGTTGTGCATTTTTGTGTGAATTTATGTGTGCTGTGTTGTATTGGAAAACTCCATTTGTTTTCCTTTCAGTGTGTATTTCATCCTGGAAAGTATTACCTTGTTTTGAACCTTGAAGAACCAATGTTAGTTTTGGGGATTTTTGCAGAGGTGAAGGACTTGGCATCTCATTCTTGCCTGCGTGCTTCTAAAATAGCATTTTAAAAATACCCAAGGTTGGACTATCTTTACAACTATAATTATGATACAACCACGTTTGAATGCTGCGTTAAATGTCCATGAAACATTATTTCATAGTTTGCAAATCATTAAGAAAAATTGAAATATCATTCTATTAAGGGAGAATTAAAGCTGGTCAGTTTAGCACCTGACTCTCCTACTACAGAGCCATACTGTTGTAATATGTGCAGAATACAGTCTAAAAAGGTAGTATGTTGTCCTAAAACCTGTAAATACTGTTCAGCATTAAAGGAACATTCCGGCGTAAATTTAAGTTAAAGTCAAGCAGACCGTAACATGGACAGACCCCTCTTTTAGAGATGAATGTTTCCGACTGCTTGCTTCTCTAGTTATACCAACTTTAATAATAATAATAATAATAATGCATCAGATGTCATATAGCGCTTTATCAGAGACCCTCAAAGCGCTTTACATTGGATACATCATTCATTCGCTCACACAGTCACACTTTGGTGGTGGTGGAAACGTGGCTGCCATTCTGCGCCTACGGCCTCTCCGACCACCACCACACAACACTCACAATCATTCACCAGTGGAGGACACACACTGGGAGCAAGGTGGGTTAAGTGTCTTGCCCAAGGACACAACGGACAGACTTGGATTAGGGGGGAATCGAACCGCCAACCTTCCGGTTATTGGACGACCGCTCTACCTCCTGAGCTCCTGCCGCCAACGACGGCACGATAGCAATTCACAGCGGTCTACGTCTCCACACGCAAACCTCAACCAAAACGCCACTCTATAGCCACATATAATGCTCAGAACAGCAGCTAACTTCATCAACAGTACATATAGGGTCCCAGCCATAGCACTCAGCATCAAACATCTTGAATCAATTACCAAGTGCAGCAATTATTCCCATGAGGTAATTATCATCATAATAATCATTTTGCACTGCAGACGTGGTAGCTCTTCTGCCTTAGCGTCTCGGTCTGATTGCATTTCCATGAAGAAATGATGAGCTGCAAAACTCCGCAGCACTCGGTGATTGACTCGTCAGGGCTCCCCCACAAGCTCGTGGCTGCTGGAGAAGAGTGGGTGAGTTGTGTTTGGTCTCTTTTCTCAAGAAACCAGGCAAAGCTAAAAAGATATTTATGGCTAGTGCCATGGCTGGGACACTTTCTTCTAATATGATCATGGATGCAGGCTTGTAAAAACATATGCAGACAAAAACCAGATCTGCTTTCAAAAATAAAGGATGCAGAAAAGTTTGATTTGTCAGTTTTCCCACTTCACAAACAATTCTTGATCATGCGTATAGGTTTTCTTTTTATTTTTTAGGGGGGGGGGGTTAGTGATCTTTAATGCAGTGTTTCCTAAAATCAAAACCACTGAATATTGGTGGTGGGCAGGGTTGCCAGGTGTACAATAATTATCCCCTCTGTACGATGTACGATAAATAACCCAAAAAAGGCTAAATGTGCAATAATTTGACAGTTTTGTGAACATGTGGTGCAACGGGACTGTCTTGATCTGCCAGACACTTTATTTTTCAGTTGGTTTTTTTTTGTGAACCCTTGAGGCATCTTTTACCACGTGATACTCCATCCAATCGTAGTTTCAGTGACAATTGCCTCCGATAGAGTGACCATATCCTGACTTAAAAAAAAACAAAAACACGACTACACGGGGGCTGAGTCATGGAGTCACATGAAGTCAATTTTGAGAGTTTTTTGGTAGGATCAATCGTCTTTTACCTGCTTCTAAATCAGTAAGTATATGTGACACAAACTCAAAACTTCCGTTCACAACCGTGGACATTTGAAGGATTTTATAAACTTCCCCGGACAGCCCCCCAAAAAGAGGACACGTCGGGGTAAAAGAGCACGTATGGCCAGCCTCTCAACAACATGCAAGACAGGCTGTTAATCATGCGAAGTTGGGATTTGCCACAGTGCCTGTAGGACACTAAACAGAGTGACTATATGTGACTATCATGCAACTGTAAGATTGTTATTTTAATTTTGCCAGGTGTACGATAATTTTCCCCAAAACACAATAATTTCGAGTCTCTGGTACTATAATTCTGTACTTCCCATCTGGCAACCTTGTCAAATAGTTGAACTTTGTGCTCACCCAGTTTGTCACAGAGGGATGGACCTGTTTGAAAATATCTTATTTGCTGGCAAAGAATATTAAAATTTTAAAAATGCCATTTTCATGAAACAGATTTTTCAGTTACAACATTTAACATGTAATTGGAAGGATTCTAATAAGATAATTTGTAAAGCATCAAAATCCACTTTTATCAAAATTTTTGAACAGTTTTGAATTGCAAACATCCTTTCCACTTTGTATTCGCTGCTGACATGCGCACCCATTAAGTTCCCCTTGGTGCAAATGTAGTTATGACTAAAACCCAGAGTGCTTTTCCTCATAAATGATGGGATGCAAACGTGTCAGGGCCGACCTGGAAGATCCTCTTTGTCCTTTCTCTGATCACAACAATTCGCTCCTATTTTGTGCTCGCAAATGTGACACGGGGATGTTGCAGTGACAAATTGGAATTGATTGGAGCCTTGGCTAAAATGTCTCAGGTTGTGACCCCTGAAGCTCAAAAGCATTTTCTATATTAGTATTCTGCACCTCACAGCTCCCTACCTTGCAGCCAAGGTTTCGGAGCATGAAAAGAATCAATGCACCTAAGAGTATCTTTTCACTTTTCTCAAGTTCATCTCACTTTTTTTTGGGGCTTGGTGTATTTCTTTGGTATTAATAATATTTTTATCACTCTATAAGCACTGCTACTTCAAGGCAAGGTCCTGTATTGAAAGCCAAACCAAATCTCCAATGGCCTTCTAGAAATGCAATAAAAGGTCTTTTGTGCATGAAGGTAGGACACCAAAATGAATGAGGATTTTTACCATTGATGAAATGCCGCCATTGAGTTTCTGTGGACCACACTGATGGTTTAAAAAAGGTTTGGTTTTACTCAGAAGTTTATTGTGTAATTTATTCCTGGTGGCGGACAAAGGACACATCATTATTTGAGTTAAAGTAGAGATACTCCAAGGCAACTAATGGTTACTTGAGGTGAAATACAAAGTGTAACTGCAGCCCGTCTCTAAAATTTTGGATTTTTCTTTCTTTAAACATGTTCCAGCGAACGATTTTAAAACTCACCTTTTGAAAAGGCAGACATATCAATTAAAATATCAACTTTAAAACGACTGTTTTAGGCAAAGTTTGGCAGTGCTTGTTTTAACTCAGAATAATGAGGATGCTTTAAGAGACCCGGACATTTAATATGATATCTGCCAAATTTCCAGAGGCCTGAAACATCCATTCCCATCTTAAATGGTAGAGCCAATTGTCTAGGCTCATCTGCACCCCCATTACGCGATGAATAATGCAACCCGATAATCTGTATAATGATCATTGAGTCATTTGCATAAAATAGTCAAGAGAAAATATTTAAATCTCTCAAAGAAGACTTGGTGAGGTGATTTTTTAGATGATTTAGGACAGCAGCAGAGCTCCAGTCCCCTCTGCTGCTTTTACAGGCTGTAGTCTGCATTCATTGCACCTGATGGATATCGCCACCGTGCAGCTTGAGGCCCTGACAAGGGTAGCGGTGGTTACGGTGGCGGCGGTTTGTAATCCTCTTTAGGGTCCCCAGATCTCTCGGTCTACCTCTGAATTCCTTGCGTCTCCAGCACCCTGATGTACACTTGGTAAATTTATCAGCACAAAACACCCTCTGCATGCCCGAGTGAAAGCCGGAGCTTCGAGCTGATAGCACAGCTGTACAGTAGAGGTGGGCATTTTATTCCATCATATTTTTGCTTTATTTCTTCCTTGGAAGGTTGCATCAAAAGGTCCTCCTGTGATCCCACTGCAGACCAACTGAGTAATTCCAGAGCGGCGATAAGGGTTTGGATAAGCATAATGACGTTTGGAGGTGTGAAGTTTTTGCTTCCTTTGAATGGCAATGGTGATTCTCTGCTTACACCTCTGTGCTTATTTAGAGCCAGGGCTATGGCCTGGAATTTCAATGGTGGTTGTTATTCACAGACATGTTTTTCCTGCGTGTCTGTGTGTGTCTGTGTGTGACCTGCATTCTTCTCCCTTCCAGCAGGTCCAGCAGTTTCCGCCCGATGAGTGTTGAGCTAAAGGTGTCACCCTGAGGGGTCACATGTCCGCCTTCTCGGTCGGCTTCCTCTGCACATGCAAGATTAAGGATGTATTAGTTTGTTTTCAGTGTTCTTGTGTAATCGGAGAAAAGAAAAAAAGTGTGAATGGAAGTCAATCTGTGCCACCTGGATTTGAATTTTATTTTCTTAAACTAAATTTTTCTTGCATCGAAATCAAACTATAGAATTTCAAGCATGCATTTCTATTTCTTATTTCTTATTTCTTATATCTCTATTTCACTATTTTTTTTTTTCACAATGATGAAATAAATTGAGTGTCAAAAAAAAAAATTTGGTCTCTCAAAATATTCTTGTAGTAAAAATTCAACTTAAAAAAAAAACCTGCAAAACAAAAATTTCAGTATAAAAAACAGACCGACTCAACATCTGGGTAATAAGGGAGATGCAATAGATTCCTCACTCTTCCACTAGGGTCACATGAACAGTCTAGCATTATTTGATTGGCTGGACGATGGATGATTGAGCCAGGAATCGATTTCCTCTCCCTGATTACCCGGATGTTGAGTCGGTCTGTTTTACACTGAATTATTGGACACTTAAAATGTTTTTTATGTTGAATTATTTTATTTTATTTTTTTACACAGCTTTTTTTTAAGTTGAATTTTTACTAAACAAATCTTTTTAGAGACTGATTTTTTTACACTGAATTTATTTCATGATTGTAAAAAAAAAAGTGTCAGAAATAAAAATGCATGCTTGACAATCAATAGTTTCGAAATTGAAAGTCTGATTTTGATGCAAAAATATTCAGCTTTAGAAATTCAAATTCAAAATCAGATGGCACAGATTTGTTTGTAAGGTTTTTTTAATTTCTCTCCTGGCTTTGGAGTTGCTTGGTTGTTCACTCCACTGCTTTGGTTCCTGCAGGAATATCTCCACGAATAAGAGAGCTTTACTGTGCTTTACTGATATTCATGCCCCCCTCTGAAAAGATGCTCGCGACTGAATGTTGCGATCCCCAACCTTTCCTCAAATGCATCCAAGGGGGTTTGACATTTGTCGCCTTCGGGGAAATAACCATGGGCTGCACTGCGGCCTGACATTCGGCACAAACTCCCCTGAGTTTGAACCCTAATGGCTTCGGTGATCCCCTGAGTTTTCATCAGGATCCATCAACAGAGTGGCGTATTTTTTATTTATTTTTTTTGAACAGCACAACAGTCCGTGTCCCGCAGGATTCGTGTTTGTTCGTTTCAGATTTGTAAGCTACTTTGGCTCCACAGTCCTGACCTTTGATGAGACAAGAAGGGTTGGACAATACAAAAACACTGAACACATGCATGACTCATCTCTGTATGACTCACTGGTCATTGCATCAGCATGATAATACACCATCAGTTACCTAACCGTAACCCTGATATCCAAGAGCAGATCCAATAAATGTTGGAACCATTTCACAATTACTCACATGCAGAAGCTAACTGCAGTCATGCTCATAATCTGAGATGAGGACGCATGATTGAAATGATTACAACAATGATGGAGGTGAGAGGATCAGAGGAGATCACTGACGTATTGATGGATGCATATCTGAGATTTCAAGTGCTGAAAAATGATAGCTAAAGCATTTTGATTCAGCAACACAAACAAGTACCACATACTGCATTAACCCTCCTCCTGTGTTAGGGTCTGCACTGACACGTTTTTGATTTTAATTGCTTAAAAGAACCACTTTAATTAGCTTTTTTTTGCATCAAGACTTTTTGACATTGTCAGGAACCTCTATTCCAACAAAATAAAAACAAAAAAGTAAATTGACTAAATTATAAAATGCTCTTATTAATATTATGGCACTTGTTGTGTTAGGATCACTGTTGACCCGGTTAGATCCAAATCTAATAATTAGAGCAAAAACTGAAATCATAAGTGCACTGTGAGGCACCACACTGACAGTCAGATCCTCTTCCAATCATGTGAGATATAGGAAATTCTCATTCTGCCATGTCTCACTGCACAAAAAACGTCAGGCATGTCCAGACATGTGAGATCAATTCAGTATAGATGTCTGTGTGAGGGGTAAACTGACAAAGAAAGAACCAGAGCCCCACTACAAAAGCTATTCTAAGCAATACTTTCATGGATAATGAAGTTTAACAAGGTAACCTAGAGATGAGAACCAAATTGGACGATAGAGAAATGTTTTTGTGTTATTTGCAGCTGATTTAAGACACAGGTCAAAACCGACCCTTAACATGGTGGGTGCGTAGTAAAAGCTCACACAGGAGGCAAGTTAAAAATATCGTGTTTAGCATCTAGTCTCCAGCCTCAACACTCCTCGCAGTTTTATCGTCAGTGATGAGCGATGAGATAATATCTTAAACCCTCTAGTCGCAGCCTGCAGGTGGATGCCGGGGAGGTGGAGGGGCTGTAAGTTTGACTGCTGCCCCGTGGCGATGGCAGAGCAGAGGCAGGGACCAGAAATGATGCAGCGAACATAGAATGCCAAATTTGTGAGATAAGTTAGCGGGTGTTCGGGGGAGTTTGGAAGTGTGAAATAAGAAGAAGCCCGTGTCGCTTCATTAGTGACTGTATTTCCATTTGTAATTATGTTGTTTTTGTGTCATTCCACAACAACTGTCCTGTCGCCATTACAATTGAATGGAGCACTGACTGTGCGCTGGAGTGCAACCTCCACAAACATTACATTAAAGATAATGTCTTTGTCAACAACAACAGAGAAACTTTATCTACATCTGCAGACATGACTTCTATCTGCACGTTTTTAGGCTTTCTTGAAGGTCATTCAATAAAAGCAAATAGAAAGGGTTTCAAGCATTAAAGCTCCACTGGGGACTTTTTTTTCACATTTATGAAACAGACTGAGATTCACATTGATGCACTTTTACCCTTACCAAAAACAAACACAACAATCAGCGACAAAATTCACCACTTTTTATGTTGTAAATATTAATGCTTAAACTGGTGCAAGAGGGTAGGTGTTGTAAGTGCAGCCAAATTAACAAATCTGTTTCTCTAATTGCCACATAAGATATTCACAATAATAGAGGTGAGTTATAATTGTTAAGTTTTAGAAAAAAGACTCCAATGCAATTTGTAAAACTTGCACGCTTTAAGTCAGCTTTTTAAAAACACATAAAAACAGTGTAGCTATTCTGCAAAAACCTGTGTTACACTTTCTTACTAGTGGTTTTGAACAGCTGAACCCTGTTTTTTCCTTCTTCTGGCTTACCAAACACTACAATAACTCGAGAGCGCCTCCCTCTGAATGAACCATAGCATTGCATGAACAATACAATAATGTTCATCTGAATGAGGTTTTTGATGTCTAGATTCACCCCTGAAATGTATAGAATGAGATGCGTATAGACTGCTTTGTCCGCAAGGGGGCGCAAAAGCTAACACAAACTTAAACTTCCTCACTGGAGCTTTAACTATCACCACTAGGGGAAGTATGGAGTAATTTTCATGATGCTGCAATAGTAAAAACATTGGTGAGAAGAGTACACAACAACAGTGTGAACTAAGGTACAAACAAAGGAGTAGGTGTGGCAGTATTTTTTGTTAAAGTCAGAAAAAGACACTGCAGCTGAGTGCAAAACTTGCCACGCACAAGTTTATGCCAATATCGGATTAATATCGGTATCTGCCGATACTGAAGGCTACAACATCAGTATCATATCAGAAGTAAGAAAGTCGGGACACCCCTACCATGGAGAACTTGGTTCCGCCTTCCGTCATACGAATTTGATGCTGAATTGCTCTCGGGATTTGCAGGATTTTTTCCACTTCATGGAATCACTGCATGCGCAGTAGCATGGTACGCATTTGGCAGGAGAGTCGCTGTAATGACACTCGGCTCAAACAGCGTATCCCCCAGGTGAGCTATGCAATCGTGCGCCCATAGGCTGTATCAAGTGTCAATCGTAGAAAACATGAACTCCCTAATCACTTTTAAAAACGGAGCTGCACAGAAAAAAGAGAACTTGAGCACAAACCAGTCTTACAGTAACTGCATGTCAACATAACAACAAGGGGGGAGAAAAATGTATGTTCTGTGTAATTAATTTCTAAAGTTTGTCCACAGCTCTATTGGGATTGCTGGAGGAGGCGAAATTTATGACCTTTACTGCAGCCCGTCACCAGAGGGTGCTGTTCTCAAAGTGGCTTTACCCAAAGAGGAGGCAGACGGCGTCCATTCTATATACAGTCTATGGTTTTACCCCTCTACAGCATTACTTATCGAATCTTTTTTACCGGAAATGTCAACAAAGGCACCTCTTTTCCATTAATAGTGTCATACAGAAACTGTGGATCTCACTGATGCTCCTGTTGGTTTCTGCTTCAGTTTTAAGTTCAGTCTGATCCTTAAATTGTTAAAAATCATCCTCTCACTGGTGATAAATGACCTTTACAAAACACTTTGGTTTGAAGATGTTCTCAAAAGTGAATATTTGTGACTCCAGTACATTTTGAAAGCGTTTTGGGAGGTGAGGCTGAAGTTCATAAATAAAAGAAGGCGAGTGTTAAGATGCAGATTTTTCATGGCATCAGTGGAGAAAAACAGAAGCGTGTAATACTGCGAGCTCTTGCCTTAAATGTAGAGCAGTTTCCTTGAACCTCCTGCCCCTGAGTCTCATTTATCTCCTGAATCATGCGTATATTCTCATTTTCAGTAAATCTCCGCACACTCTGGCACACCGCAAACATCAAAGCCTCATGTGGAGCTTCTTTTTGGCACTTTCATTTTTGCCAATGTAAACGCACCAAATTTCATTTGGGAGTATATTTCAGGCAGAAGCTCGGGTGTTAGTGCGGCTGATGAGTTCCAAAATGGTGTGCAGCAGCAGTGAGAGGAGCTGCAGAGGTTGTAATCTGAGCAGGAAGGCAGAAGCAGTGGCTGTGAGGGTGATTTACAACCTCTGCTTTTATTATGGCGGGGTGTTGGATCCGTGTTTCAGAAAGCAGAGTGCATTGTGTATTAAAATTACTCAATTTTTCTGCATGCTGAACCTTCACGGGCCTTTTTTCAATGCATTATAGCTGGAATTTATCAGAAGGCATATTGCACCAGGGCAGAAAATACATTAGTATAGCATGAAATTCCTTAAGAATTGCACTTAATAGGAAAATTATACAGATTTGACAGATTCCAGTCTGTTTTTGTTTATTGGACAGTATTGTACCCTTAAAAGCTGCGTTCCAGCTTGTACACCCTGGAGTCACATGGCTTTCATAGAGGAAATAACTTGAAGTTAATAAAACATCTGGAGTAAATGAAAGAAGAGAAAAGAGGGTGGAGGCAACAGAAGCAATTTTATCGCCGAAGTGCAAAGAAAAACACAATTACCGGGGGAGGAGAGCTGGAGAGCAGCTGAGCGATGCGCATGAGTGAGGATGTTTTGTCCGTCTGCATTCAGCGAGGTTTAAGTTGAGCCACACAGGACTGATTACCGCAAGAGGAAATATATTGAACGCCTCTTTCACCGCAAACAGCTATTATAATTGTCGATTCCGCTTTGGAGGCGGAATCACGCTGAATGCTTCTGCAGCCATCATGCAATTTGGCGTACTGTGTGTCAGGCTTGTAAAAGTAAACGTCGCTTTGTGTTCTGTCATTGGAACAGATAGAATAACAGATAAACAAGGTTTGCACTGTTAAAACGCCCCGATAATGAAAATGATTGCTGCGGGGAGGGTGTGTGTGTGTGTGAGCAGACGTGTTACAGGGAGAAAAGTAGGGCAGGGCGATATGACCTGAAAAATAAATTGTCTCATTTTTTCCCACCACACCCCGTGCATGATTTTAATCGATTTGATGCAGCTTATCTCTGCTGCTTTGCTGCTTTTAAGCAGGTATTTGGGGGAGGGCTTCTGCCGCCCCTGTGAAGTGCCACACACTTGTCCAACTCGGCTGTGAGCCTCTGATGAGACGCTGGGATGAATAAGTCCGCGTAATAGTGGTTTGCTCAAGGTCAGATGCTGCAAAAACCCAAACCATTTCAGAAGGAGAGAGGAGTGGGGAGCCTTTTGTGGGCCTGAATTGGTCGTTCTCGTTGGGGATCGCTCACGCTATCATGCTGCTGATGTAAAATGTGGCAATTTCACCACATCTCGGGATGTTGGCCAACCGATCAGGGGATGTGGGACGCACGCAGCATGTCTCCAACACTGGAGGCAAAAAAGTCCTAAAATGTTTATTCTTAATTCTTAAAAGTTCCCACAAAGGAGAAAGTACAGCTTTATTTTTTGTTCATTTGATTTAGCATGGTAAACTTTCACGTATACTTTAACGATTACTGAAAAAAAATTATGTCTTTAGGCGTGCTGTAATCAACCAAAGAAATTCTTGGTCGACTAAAACCCTGTAATTTTTGACCAAAAATAGATTAAGCTGGGGGAGGATTTTTCCGACTCTGCGGGCAAACTATTCTGCGGCATGGCTCAATGGGGTAAAAATATACTGATATCAGCACAAGTAAGTTGAAACACTCAAAACAAAAATAAATACTTAGCAAACCACCAGACACTCTTCAATCCTCCTGTCTCCAAGCTGGTCTCCAGGGGGTTGGACAAATCCAAACTTGTGAAAACATGGGGGGTATTCTGAGACAAGCTGTTACCTGTGAAATAGATGGGGGTGCCCTGAAAACACCCCCATTAGCACTTGGTACATTCCTCCTGATGAAATTAACCATAGACTGTAAATCAACGTGGAAAAAAATCAAGTCAACCAATCGGAATTTTGAGTCGACTCAGTACGTATGGACCAAACAATTCAACCAATGGACTAGGACTTTACAGCCCTAGTTTTTAGCCTATTTTTGGTTTTAATTTTGATAAATTTGGCTTTGAGATGGCCAGTTTCTTAAATTATATGTATATTTCCAAAGATCATTAAAAAAGGAGATTTTACTGAACAGAAATGTGAATGTCGGATACGAAAAATCATCGTAAGGAAACTATTAAGTGGTAGTTTTGGCGCAGCGGGCAGGTGCAAAGTCCTGCTGGATAGGAAATCAGCATTCTCATAAAGCTTGAAATGCTCTAAAACCTCTTGGTAGACTTTAGTGGACCAACACCAGCAGATGACACGGCACCCCAAATGATCACAGACTGAAAAACCCTAACCTTGGACTTCAAACACCTTGGGTTTTGTGCCTCTCTGATCTTCCTCCAAACTCCAGGACCTTGATTTTCAGATGAAACATAATACTTTGATTTTTGTATGCTGAGCAGCTATTTTTCTTCTCTTTAGCTCAGGTAAAGACGCTTCTGACGTCTCTGCTTGATATTAAGAATGCATCAGTTGTAGTCTCCTGAAGATGTTTGTGCATGGCGGCTCTTGAATCGCTGACACCAGACTCAATCTACTCCTTGAGAAGCTCTCTGTAGTCCTTCAATCCTCTCAAGGCCGGGGTCATCCCTGCTGCTTGAGCACCTTTTCCTAGAGCCCGTGTTTTCTCTTCTAGTCAGCTTTGCATTAAAGCACGGTGATGAAGAACTGTACCAAACTGGACCAAGAGAAACTGATCACTTGAACTGTTTGGAGAGCAGTTTACTCAAACTCAAAAACAGAAATCACAACATTAAAAAATGAGTAATTTAAAATGTTTCGAACTGAAGATCATGAAACTAAAATTAAAACATTTTAGTTGATTTTAGAAATTGTGAACAATAATTTACTTAAACTTAAAATGAGATACTCTATTTTTATACTGTTTTTGAATTTTGCATGTAATGAAAAATAAATAACAAATAAATAACTTTATTTATTGAGTTGTATCCTGTAAAACCAGAGAAATTCAGGGGGTGGGACTTAAATGGTGCAACACTTAATCAGTTAGATACAGACAATTTTTAGAGGCTCGCTTTAATTTGCTTTATTTTCACGGCTTTTTACACTATCCTCTATCTGTCTGTGCCATTAACTCTTCACATTATGTCCTATTAGAGTCTCTAGTTCACAGTCTTCTCTGGGAGTCCCTGAGCTCCATCATGCTGTAGGTTCCTCTGCTGTCGTGGATCTGCCTGTTTTCACCTCTATCCCCTCTTTGAACCTGATGCAGTCTCAGCAGATGACTGTCTGATGTTGGGCTTCCAATGAACAGTTTTCACAGTCCCAGACTCAAAACTGAAAGTCTTCAGTAAATGTTGGAGTTTTACTGGAGTCAGAGCGCGCTCCCGTCATCTCGATCATTAAGTTTAAGGTGGTAATCTGTGCTGTTTCATATCAGTCTTTTCCTAATCTAATTGGGTTTGCAATGATATCAAACGTGTTTGATAATATCGCAAGTCATAGTTACGTAACACAACCAATAACCAATAGATGACCAATAGCAAAAGCAGGAAAGGAAAGCTGGCAGTTAAAACAAAAAGAACAAGAATGTATGAAGAATTACTGACGATAGATAAGGAGCAGATAGTGGAGCTGTGGACAGATCAGACGTGCCTATTCAACACCAACTGCAGGGTTTCCCTACATGTAATGGTGCACAGTTTAATAAAAGCCGCCACACCTCAACAATAATGTTTTTTTATGCGCTACCTCGGACTCAGTATGTACCAGTATACGCGGCGCACCCATGTGCCAAGTATTAGCATAAGGGAGTTCCGAGTTGTCATATGCGAACACACAGCTGATCAATGAGCCACCCCCCTTCAAATCACACACCACCACAGATAGATTCCCCACCAGAGGGAAACAATGAACTGTAAAAAAATGCTAAAAGAATAAAAAATAGTGACCCTGCATGATTCACAGTCTTTGTGAAAAAAAGTCTGAGACTAGACTGTGACTAAAAACTCTTGAAAACACTTGTCTTTAAATGTGAGCCGATAGTTTTCTTGGAGTCTTTTCCAAATCTTCTTAAAGTCCTCTGATGGAAAGCTGGCCTAACATGCCTTGAGGTTTCTTCCTCTCCACTGTAACTTCATAAATGATGCAAAGTGCATGTGGTTCAAGATGGGTCTGTTAAGATGTGGCTCAGTCTGATCCCGTCTTTGTAGATATGTTCTAGACCAGCTATTTTGTCGTGTCTATCCTGCTGTATAAACTCAGATAGTTAAAGGTTGATTGATTGATTGGCTTTGAGTGGAAAGGTATCTTCAGAGTCTAAGTGTGAAATCTTATGAATTCATTTCACAGATTAACGTCTGGTTATTGCATTTCCTTTCAAATTAGCACCCTTGAGGGTCATAAAAGGCCTGAGTACGGGTATAGAAATTATAATTCCTGAATTTTATGAATGTGATCCTGCAGTCAATGCATATATATGCCTATTAATTACACTCGACCGCACGTCCATACTGTTTGAGAATATATTAAAGATGTAATCTCCCAGATGGTATTGGTTGGACCTTTTGCTCGGCTGTCATTCATCCCTGTCAACATTTTGTGTTACATGGCTTGGCAAGTTAATTGGAGTCAGGAGAGGTTGAAAAGGTTGCTGAAAAACACTGTAGCTGCTGACATCCGCTGCCCTCGGTGGATGGTGTTCCTCAGCCTTTTCCAGGCAAAAGACATCGAAAATTCTCCTCCATCACACAAAGAAAATGTCAACTTCTGTCACAGCTTAATATGATGCAAGATCCAGCTTCAAATCTCAAACTTATTACTGCACCTAGCAGGGGGTTACAGTCTGATTCTCTAGAAATACCGCTGCAGTTTTTGATTTTTTTAAGGGCTTCTCAGGCTCGCTGAGACTAAAACACAGCCCGCATTTTCAGGCTTTTTACAAGATTAGACCACCGGCGAAACTGGCTGCATTCGCTGTCTGAATCGCTTTGCTTTGATTTCACCTCATTCAGAGCATCCACTCTGAGTGCATTGAATGCCCTGAAGTATTGATTGAATTAGACAAAGAACCCTCACGAGGGGGAAAAAAAGGAGAGAATGCAATCATATTCCCATTAGTGCCAGGCTGGAGGAGAGGAGCACGTGCTGGCCTTTTCTTCAGGCCTTACTTATTCAACATTAATTACCGTTCATTTCACACATTCTGTCCTCCATTCTCCTACTCTGCGAGTGATTTTCAGCCGCTGCACATCAGTTTGGTTTCTCCAGACTTCCTTGAATCAGACGCCGAATAAGGAATTAGTCAATGGCTGGAAAATTATAGTCCTTGCTGAGAAAGAGTGTTTTCAAAGAGCCATTAAAGTTTCCGCGTGGATACAGAGAACTTGTACGACTTCGACTCTGAAATTTTTTTGTTGTAAAAAATTTCTGGCTCCTGGGTCAGACTTTGTTCAAGATGAAGAGCCGGAGGTTTCTTTGACTGAGAGGGTAGAGGTGAAAAAGCAGAAACGGGAGTGTGAATTTGCCAAATCCAACAGCAATTTGTTGACATATTCGTGACTTTTGTAGCTTTTATGAAAGACGGAGCATCGGTTTGCCGAATTCAAGCAAACTGGAGAGTAAATTTTCTGATAGACAACAAGTCCAAGTGCTGGCTTTATGGTGCCAGAGAGAAAGCTGTGGCTCCAGCAGAGGAATTTATGAGATAAACAGATTTGAAATAAACTCGTTTTATGGGGTTAAGTGCACAAACCTTCTTTTAACCCCCTCGGTTTAACTTCCTTTGCCTGCTCTGTAATCCCAGACTGATTGACAAACCAACAGTGACATCCCTTGAGAAAATAATATCACCCTTCAGTAACGGGAAACCTCGTATTGCAGGTTCAGGAGCAGCTAATGGATATGAGGCAGAGCTGTTGTTTGTGGATGAAATTCAGCGATCTTTCTCCATTACCCGTTTCCTCAATCATGAGTCGACAAGGTCCATGTCCGACTGCGGGAGAAGAACTGTCAATTATCTACTGAACTGCCTGCTTTAACTCTTAAATGCACTCCTGAGGTCTTCAGAGACCCGAGATCATATAACTCCATTTGCACTCCAACTAATTTATTCAGTTATTCACTTAAGCCCTTCACTCCCTGCTATTATTTCTTTTTTACTATTTCCTGGTGTCAAAATGTCAAACTTATTGAAAATACATGCTTTCTAAAGGTTTTCGGTAGGAGTGCATCTTGTGTGTAGAGGTCTTTGGAGACTCAGGGGTTTGTATGAGTTGTTTTTTTTCCATCACAGGATGTGCAAAAAAAGGTCTGAAGCGTTACATTGGAAAAGAAAAAAAAACATCCCTTGATATTTGACTTTCCACTGCACTAAAAGCTGCACCCTAACCTCATACAACCCATGTTACAGCTCTGAGAAAGAAAAGTCTGAAGAGTTGGCACGAGGTTGAAAGAAAGAAAGAAAGAAAGAGAGAGAAGAAAATCACAGAGAAAAGGAAATCATTTAAAAAATGTCATAACAGCTCTAACGCGAACAATCAGTAACAAAAGGAGTGACAGAGCGGAAAGAGGACAAAATGTTCTCTGCTTAACGAGAAATGGTGGAAAGATCATGTCGGTAATTCTGCAATCTTCTCACATCGAAGAAAGGAGATGGAACAGACTCCAGAAAAACGAGGTGGGACCGATCCAGCCGGAGCTCTACAACATAGACTTCATTTATGTCCGGCTATTTTCATAAACTGACATTTCACCCTCTCCGTTTACAAAAAATAACTGTGTGCACACCACTATGTTGTCAGAAAAGTTTTTGTTTACACTAACCCGTGTATATATGCCATCAAGAGTGTGCCAAACATGGAGGTGGCAGTGTAGCGAGAAGCTCAAGCCAAGGTTGGCCAATCAGAATCACGCATAGCAGCAACAACTACAACGTCACTTCCTTCTTTTGGAAAAGACGCAAATGCAAACAAATACAAAAGGGATTGCACCAGCATAAATTTGACCTCTATTCTACATGCATCCATGATCACCATAAATTGTAAACAACGTCACATTTAGCCCAGTTTCTGCCATCGGCCATTGCAAAATCTCCTCTCTAGCCAAAGTTTTAAAAAGCATCGTTTTCAGGGGCGAATCCTCTGTTAGTGCCTAAACGAAGGGTGCAAATGATGGTAAATGTCGCCGTTTTTGAAAAAAAAAAAAAAAAAAGGGTACGTATAAATGGGGCCATAACCTAACATTAAAATAAAACAGCAGGGTGTATAAGATAAAACAATAAAGCCATTGATTATCACTCGGTGTCTAAAAGTTTGATGTAACATCTTTAAATTCACTGAAATTTTGTTTTAATTTTTACAGATCCATTTCCTCCATATCTTTCAAGATAAGATTTGATCAGACATACTTTTTGTTTATCTGAGTTTTAACGCCCAAAATATTTCCTACGTCAGAAATGTTGATGAATCCTAAACAATCTGATTTGTCCATTTTGGGGGGACAAGTTATGTACAGTATGTAGTCTCAGCAAGATCACCTTGTGGAGTACCAAAGCCTGTAGATGACAGTCCCTATATTGGAAATGCTGATTGAACCAAACTGTTGGTCATCATACCTCCAGAGTTTGCAGGTCAGGTTGGAGCAGGTTGGAGTAGTAGATCACAGGTAAACAATCTTCATAAGGGCGGTTGTCACTCAGTACCAAAGTCTATCAAATTTTAATTGAAAGATTGGTTCAGTCTCAGCTCAAAGAGAGGAAGACCCATATGCAAAACTCAAAAACTTTCATTAACAAAAGACAACAAAGACTTACTTCAAAAATGTCCAACTGGATAAATCCAAATCCACCAGGAGAAAGAAATCAAATGAAACAGAATTCACCAGGAAACCATAAGGAGATGAGTTAGTGTTGAGGAAACATGGACAATGAACCAACAAACAAAGAGGTGAAGACATGACACAGGTGAGACTTGTGAGTAATCAACAAAGGAGGGAAAACACAGGAAGTAAAACTAGACTTGACACGCAGGGGTTGACTCCTACAAAATAAAACAGGAAACAGTGAAAACTGAACTGAGAAACCAAACAGAGAAAAACAAGAACAACAGGAACATAAAAATTATAAAATCTTTAAACTACACCTTCATGGGGAATCTGCCAGCTGGTGGCTCCAGATTATGCCACTATGGTGAGATTTCTTAGGGTTTTTTGGCTTCACCTTTTGCACAACACAAAATTATGGAGAATTGACATCCACTTTTATTGTCAAAGGGGAATTCCCTACACCCTACTCTTTATTTTCCAATAAGAGTGCAGCTGTGAAAGACTCATTTAGCTCTACATTTAAACTAATGGATAGATTCTTGCATTATATTTTATGTTTTAGCCCCTGACTGAGAAACACTTTAACTGGAGATGTTGGCTCCTGATTTCAGGTTCACTGGTAAACATTTAGAAATTGCCCCCTTATTCCTCTCCAATTTAAAGTACATATTTCTGCTTGTTCTCGGGGCACACATAAGCCACTAACGAGATGCAATACTCACAGGCTACATCTAGCCTTGAATGAAACCAAGCCAAGCACATCACCTTTTCTCCAAAGCTGCAGGATCAAGAACAAGCCCCCAGCAGCAGACATACACATGACTGTAATCCTGATGTTAATGTCATGTTTAGCACCTGAAAACCTTCTTCCTGACAGTCTGCAAACACCTGCCTCCCGATGGGCCATTCACTCGCTGTTGCTGTAATTTAGCAAGCACTAACCAGCGTTCTATAGCCCCTCCACAGAAACTCCAAACACCTTCAAAGAAGATTTAGTGAGTGTGTGTGTTTTTCCTCCAGGTTTACCTTCATTATCATCACCGTGAGGCTCTCCATCTCGGGAATGAAACATCTGCTGTTTGGGCCTTTTGTTCGACTGACAATTATCCACGCAAAGATGTTGTGTACACACATTTTTCATACTAATCCTTATCCCCCATCATTGCACATTTGTCATTCTTAGGAGTCTGTCGGAGCAATATTTCAGCCCGGTGCCAAAAGTGTCAGTTATATAATGCATGTGTGAGTCTGATTGTTGTGTTTCCCTCTGAAGTGAACTGTCTGGCAGGCTTCCACAGCTTAAACAGCTTGGATGTTTGGTTTGACATCTTTTAATGGTAAACAACATTATGTTTTCGCAGCAGACTTCAGCAACCAAGAGCTCAATAACAGTAAAGTAAGCGAAGGACAGGCCTGCGATTATATCATTAGTTTGTGCGACTCAAGGAACAAGAAGAAAAAAACACTAATGTGCAAAGTGTCCCCATTTCCTTTTTTATTGTTCTCAAGCAGATGCCACGAGTACTTTCGGGCGGCACTTTGAGAAGCTGTAACTATTTCTGTTTTGATGCAGCTGCACTTTTGAAGACATGATATTTTGCTGATGAACATGTGTTAAAGACAGATAACCAACGCACCACCAGGGGTGCGTCTTGAAAGAAACAAAGATAACCCTAATCTACCTTAACCCAACCCCTCATTCCCATTCTAAGCACAATAGAAACGTGTATTAAAATGCATAAACTTAGAAAGGGCTCGATTCATATAAACAGGAATGTGCGCACTGAGGAAACGCCATTTAAAATTCAAGGTAAGGAAACACTGGAGGTTTAAAATCTAAAAGCAAAGTAACATAAAATGAAATTTAAGAAATAATAAATGAAATGAAATAAAAACAACAGTAAAAATGGAGATAAAGTTCAAGCAGGCTGTGTCCAGATAAAAAGGCACATAACCACTTGGCTAGCACAGGTATGTGGTGCTAGCTCTGCTTTAGTTAGACACACTCCAGTTCGACATTGTTAACCTGCAAACTCTGGTCACTTTTTAATGTTGTCTGAGTGTTTTCTGACTTTGATGTTAGCCGGTTTGAATGACTGAGAAAATTAGTGCCCACAAACAGCCTTAGTGAGCATGAAGTACTATGCAAATTTTATTTTTTTAATTTTATTTTACAATTTATTTCTACATTATAAAATTTTGATTTTGGGCATGGCACTTCCATAGCAGTGGTATTCTTATCAGCCTAGAGAAATATCAAATTTAACATTTTTTAACTGTATCTCAGCTGTCTGACCAGGTTATCCGTGGGGTCTTAAAAGTCTTACAACATCTAAAATCCAGTAATTTGAATTTAGACCTTAAAATGTCAAAAATTGTCTTAAAATCTCATAGAACGTCTTAAATACGATTTTGAAAGGTATTTCAAAGTAAGTATTAACTCTACTTAAATAATGTGCCGGAGGAATAAAGATTGATTTGAAGTAATGCAAAATGTTCTGATTTCCCAACATGTTTTTGTACTGTGTTGCCAGAATGGATGTTAAATGGGTCTTAAATTGTATTCATTACAATCTTAAAAAGTCTTAAAATGACTTAAATTTGACTTATTGAAACCCGTAGAGATCCTGTCTGTTTTCCTCAATTTGTTTGATGTCTCAGCTTGTATTTTAACACCCTTTGCTGGTTATCCTGCCATTTACCAGTCAGTCCTTTGCTACCAATCTTTAATTTTGTACTCTTCTAATAACTTTGGAGTTGGATAAAAAATGTTCTGCATTTTATTTCCAGATGCTGTCAGGAAGTAATGCTGTTTGTCAAACAGTCAACAGGAAGAGGTAAAATCATAAATAATACGGGTTGCCTTCAGAGTCACTACAGCTATTCAGAGTTGATGACTATTGTTAGGAGGTTTGGACCAATCAGATTCAAGTATTCCACACAGGAAACACAGAGCAAAAAGACTTAACACATGCCAAAGAAGATGCATGTAGCCTGAAGCAAAGCCCAGTAACCTGATTTGTCTTTAGGACTCAGTTCAACTGAGGTGGCCCATAAGAGGCCCACGCCACCCTTAGCTACCCCCTGCGAGCGCCCCTGTAAGTGACTCAAAAAGAGTCCAACCTACCTTTTCTGAAGTGTAGTCTTCCAAGTGGAAAAATGCTTCCTTGAACTCCTGAAAGGAAAAGAATTACTTTTCTTTTGTCAATTCGTCAGTACTTTGAGAGGAGTGTGACTCCCCTTAATGAATGCAGCTTAGGCCCAGCACAGCAGGGTGGCACCGGGCCGAAGCTCTTTGAAGAGGTTTATATTTGAGAGCTTGCATCAGTGTCTTGCCTACAGCAGGAATGGTTAGCAACAGAAAACCTGGGTTGTCATATTCCAATATGCTCCACAGGGAGAATACTCTGGTGACAAGGGGATTGCTTTTTGGAATGATTAAAAGAAATTCAGAAGCATGTTAAAGAGGGTTTCAGGTTATTTAGCTCAGAATATTTGTAACTCTACACAAACAAATCTCTTAAATCCACCACGGGCAGGAAAATGAGCAAATAGTTATCTGTGACAATCCTAGTATCAGGTGTAAGGCAAAATTTGTCAAATGCAACTGTTTTCTTTGGCCTTGAGCTTCTAAGTGTGGAGATCTAGGTACCACAACAATGTCAGGCTTACACATGCAGAACTCTGTTGTCATGTTATTATAAGACGATTAAAATACACAACATAATGTCATATTAAGGTCTGTAGACAGTTTCACATATAAGTTTTGGGTGTTATGCATGGAAACTGTTGGAGTTTGGTAAAGTTTAAAAACACTTATAAAAGGGACAAGACTGTAAACACATACTGGATGGCCAAGATCTCTAAGCGCTCAAGTAGCACTGCAATTAGACGTGACTCTAGTGTAAGTCACTGCATGGGCTTGAAATCACCTCCAAATTATCAGTAAATTATCAGTAGATGAACATTTAAATGTAGGTTGAAATTATCCCACAAACATGTACTTTGATTCACAGCAAATGATTGGAATACCATGCACCGCCCGGGAATCGAACCCGGGTCGCAAGAATGGGAATCTTGCATGATACCACTACACTAGCGGTGCTTAAATCCCAACAGTAAACATGACCTAGAAACTCTGGAGACTTCTTTTGGCCATTGACAAGAGACGAGGATATCCCCCAATTTCCACTGCATCCGGAATCTCTACGAAAAGGCCGTATTCGCCAACTGTAGCTGATGGTAACCATTCAAGTCAATGTGTCAATTTCCACCGGCTTCTCTCCGTTCCGCTGTGGATCACTGGACTCCGCAGCCGATCGCAAGAGCAGAGATTAACCCATGCTGGAAAGGAAGTTGGGCACAGACACAGAATAAAACATCCGGCTTCTTTTCAAAATAAAACACTCTGTGTTTCAGGCGGATCGTGTTTCACATTATGCAAACGGGCGGGGACAAACAAGTGAATAGACAGCATTTTTATCCCGATGACACTATGTATGAGGAGATGCTGATTCTAGAAGTCAAGAAGTGGATTTCCTCCTCTGGAAGGACACAATCTACTGCTTATATGGTTAGCCTATGCAGCTAAAGACAACTTGTTATCTCGCAATTGCACATGAATCCGCGGGTTCTTGTTATCACAAACGGATCCGTTAGGAATTGGCGTACTGCAAAAATTGCCACCGTTCCAGAACGGAGCAGTTCCGGGTGTGGTGGAAATCCTGGGTAAGGCAGCCACATCGATTAGCATGTGTGATGGTTCTTAGTGCCCAGGCAACAGTTCCAGTCATTAAAAGTGACAATATAAAGACTGTCAGTCTAGTCCCTGCAGGTCTCAATTGCTCTTGGGTGTCATGAAAAGGCATCATTAGAATTTTCAATCTGTTTCATCAAAGTCAAAAAACTTCCCACAGGAGCTTTAAGACTTGAAAGCAGACAAACTCTGGGAATTATTCCAGACTTCCCTCAACGGCTCATTCGACTATTGAGAAAACACCAAAGTACAAAGTTAGGGTTTCAGAGATTCATTTTAACTTTTAGTTCACACATGTGGCCCCCCCAGATGACAATTTCCAGGAATTTCCAGGAGTGTAGTCCATGTGTGAAAGGGGCTCTCTAAA